GTTACTTTTATGGTTCAAATGGCCTAACCTAGTAAACTCATATTTTGATTGATACTGATGATGTCGGTAGGTCTCTATGTGAAAGTGATGAAGCTTATGAAGTTGCTTATATATGCATATTGCTTGTACATGAAGCAAGCATGCAAATACATGAAGGGTGCATACAAAGAGGTATGTGGGTGAGAGAGACAGAGGGAGCGAGAGAGTGAGGGAACAGGAGTGCTGATGAGTTTTCAATTCACTCTCTTGGAGCTATAAAAAAATGGATCGACCACCTCAAGGTTCTGATGACATTTGAATAACATTTTTCTTGATATCTTCATGCTCAGTTTTATGCATTGCTTCTGACTGGGAAAAGTCAATGCTTATTTCCAGAGTGGTCTGATGGCGAAAAGTGATACATGTCAGACCTTCAGGGAATTGCATTCAACAGGAAATAGGTCCACATGCCCTTAATATTTATCTTCCTCTTTGTGATTCAGACACTAAGATTTGTTACTATAAATAACAAATATTTACATACCACTTAAGAAAGACTTCCATTCTCCAAACAGTATCTCCACATTTGCACCGTATGATTGGATTTAGTACGAAAATAGTTTGAAGTACTGAGCCATTTGATGTGAATGAAAATTATTTATCTTTAAAACAATATATTGGCCAGAGATTTTTCCCTTTGTGGTTAGTAATTATGTTAAATATGAATAAGTAATATTTTAGAATTTAAAGCAGTAATATAAATAATAATTTGTGTTTTAATTGTTACACATGTATAGGGATCTATCGTGATTGCTACCAAATAAATATTGGTTCCTCCACTGTCATCTTATTGCCCTCTTCTTTACTCTGATCTCATCATTTGCATCAGATGATTAACTAGATCTTAGGGCACAGCGTTTACTCTAGAATCAGATGAATAATTCCACAAACATCTCTCTGCTTATCTTTATGTCCTTGGGTGTGAAGATGAAACTAACACAATTCGGAACACTGAGGTACCATTCAACTTACATTATCTAGAACTCTGAATCTTGCCTCTTTTTTTTGTTTTATTAAAAAATCATTTATTGGGGGCTCTTACAAATCTTATTACAATGCATACATCAATTGGATCAGGCATATTTGTACACATGTTACCATCATTCTTTTCTAGACAACTACTTTCTATTGAGCCCTGGTATCTGCTCCTCTTGCCCTGAGTCCTCGTGACCCCTTGATAGATGATAAATTATTATTATTTTCATATCTCACACTGACTGCTGTCTCCCTTACCCCATGGTTTCTGTTGTTCTTTCCCCTGGAAGTGGGTGTGTGGTTGTATGTCGCTCATCAGGATTGGTTCCCCCTTCCTCTCCTGTTCACCCCCTCCCCCTTCTCCCTACCAATCTGGTATTGCTATTTCCTTTCCTGCTTCTGGATTCTGTGTGTCATGAGCTAGTCCGAAGTGAGAGGCAGCACTGGGGTCGTGAAGTAGTGGGCGAGGAACCCTCAAGGAACCAGAGGAATCTTGTGTGTTTCATCAGTGCTTTACTGTGCCCTGGTTGGCTCACCCCTAAGACCCCTCTGTGGGGGAATGTTCCATTGTCTACAGATGGGCTTTGGGTCTCTGCTCTGACCCCCGCCCTTGGTCTCAACAATATGTTTTGATTTGTTTGTTTGTTATAGGTCTTCTAATGCCTGTTACCTGGGTCTGATGACACTTCATGATTGCACAGGCTGGCGTGCTCCTTCCATGTGGGCTTGTTATTTCTCTGCTGGATGGCTGCTTGTTTCACTTCAAGCCTTGAAGACTCCAGATGCTATATCTTTTAATAGCAAGGCACCATCTGCCTTCTTCACCACATTTACTTATGCACCTATTTTGTCTTCAGCAATTGTACCAGGAGGGTGGGCATCACCTAGTGACAGTTTGTTAGAACAAAGTGTTCTTATATTGAGGGAGGGTATGAACAGGGACTTGAAGTCCATTCCCTACCTCAGTGTATTTTGCCGTATATACATATTGCCATATAAATATATTCCATATACATATAAATAAATATATATTGCTGTATAAATATAAAATATATGCCATATAAATATATTGCGTATAAATAAAAATATTGCCGTATAAATAAACATACATAGGCCAATACCTCTATTTTTATAATTAATGTATTTACATATGGACACACCTATGCTTATACCTCTATCCATAGCTTTGCTTCCGAGATCATTCCTTGTTTCCTTTTACCTTCCTTTTGACCCACCATCATGCCTCGCCCTACTTCTGCCTCAGAGTACTTCCTCTCAGCTAGAATGCTGTTGGCCAGCGCTCCCAGGATGACTATATCCTCCTCGTTATTGATTTTTATTCCCTAGTTGTTCCCCTGTCTATGGTGCTGCTTGCCCACCACACCCTTCCTCTGCCCCCTTCTCCCCGCAAACCCCCCGGGACCATTGGTCCTGTTGCTCTCTCCTTGAGCTTGCTTCCCATGCCTGTCTTAGGCATACCAACAGTGGCATAGATCAAACAAATGGAAAAAAAACGTTGACAAAAAGAAAGGGGGAAAATGTGTGAGAGAGAAAACATACATAACTCCAGGTCCCTCTGCAAACCTTTTCCCCATCGGTCCTGTGGGAATTCCTGGAGCTGGCCCTCCTAGCCTGAAGTCTATTTTGGTGGTTCTTTAGGGGTTTTGTGGCTTGGCTTTGCTCCAGTTGCTGATCTGTTGATTTTCCCCGCTGAAGGGGTCGAGGGGGGTCGTGGTGTGGGGCAAGGGGGGTGTTTCAGACTCCACTGCCTCCCTACCATGTGTCCCCAGTATTGTCCTCTGTCACAGTATGCTCCAGTAAGGGGAAAATATGTCATGAGCTGTTGTCTGTCTTGCAGTCCTCTCTGTGCGTTAGCAGTCCCATGCAGGGATGTCGTCCTCCGGGCTTGGTGCCAATGTGGCGTGTGGAACGACCGTCCCTTTATCTTTTTCCTTCTTGGTTTGCTTCCGAGTGGTCGTGATATGCCGGCCCCTCACCCCAACCTGTAGGTTTAGTGTTCTTCTCTGTCACATGCACTTCTAGGGCGGGGGGTCAGTTTATTTGGCCTACCACTCACATTTCAGAAAAAAATTAAAAACTTACTCAGCACCCCTCTGGCAGTTAATAACTTTTTCTGAGTCCAGATTTTTTTGGTTTTTTCTGTTGTTGAAAGCAGAGAATATCTGAAAAAATGCAAACACACCTAACCGTGTGGATCATAACAACTGTGGAAAGCATTGAGGAGAACGGGAATTCCTGAGCACTTAACTGTGCTCATGTGGAATCTGTAAGTCGATCAAGAGGCACCCATTAGAACAGAGCAAGAGAATACTGCAGGGTATTAAATCAGGAAGCTCTCACCACGCTTGTTCACTGTGCATGCTGAGTACATCTGAGAGGCTGGACAATATGAAGCACAACCAGGGGAGAGACCACGTGATTTTGGTAGCAGAGGATTCTCCAGTTCAAAAATACCATAGATTGCTATCAGTTGAGAGCAAAAAAATTTCCTCCCTCCCTGAATTTGGACTTTTAACCTCCAATATGTGAGAAAATAAATTCATATTCTTTAAGTTCAACCATTTGTGGTATTGTTTGCAATGGCAGCACAAGGAAACTACAACATATGGTAATCTCATCATTCTAGAATTCCTTATAGCAATCAATAAAAACGAAGGGTCTTGCATGTAAACATTTATGGTTTAATTGCATAATAGACTTGTGACAATTGATTAGCTATTTGGACAAAAGTCAATTTTTATATTCACACTTTGTCACCTAGAATAAATTCAAATGGAGTGTCAAATATGAAAAATCAAATAATCTAAAGGCTCAATCATCCATTACCACCATAGCAGCTGCTGTAACAAATGCAACCAATACAGACATGAATACTTAAGGGGAAAGGACTTTAAAAAGTTTCAAAAGTAGATAAAACCGATATATTTCATGACATAGAAATATTTTTTGCAGAAAATACCCAAAGTAAATGGATCAAAAGTTAAGGAAAGCATATGAGCCAGTCTAAATAGCAAATGTTAATACGTACTGGAACAAGAGTCAAATCAATAAAAACAATGCATCGAAACTAAAGTTAGCAAATGAAGTGAAACAGCATGAAAACTTAATAGGTCAAAGTGTCAAAAATGGTTTGAAACACATACTAGACCTATAAACTCATATCTGGAACAATAATACTCAACTTTACTAGAAAACAGTAAATGCAAATTAAAATGACAGACTATATTTAATGTATCAAATGAAAAAAACAAAAAAAGTCTGTGAAAACCATATATATGAGGAGACTGAAGTGAAATAGACATTTGTATACATTGTTGGTGGGGATTTTAGAAAGCACTGTCATAATTATGGACATTTTAATCTTTTGATCCCTTTACAAATGTTCTCTTTTTCCTGAGAAAATAATATATATGAAATAAATAATATAATTAAAATTATTGATAGAAGTAGCATTGATAAAATAATTTTATTCTACTTACATATTTGATTATAATGAAATAGATGCCTATAAATAAGATAGAATATTAAATGAATCTCATGATTAAAGCTTTTGAGAGAAATCTACATAGAGTAAAAAATATAAAAGGAAAATATCAAAAGTATTTGCAGTAGTTGTGTTTGGTCCATGGGATTCTTGATAATTATTTTTTAAATATACTTTTCTGTATATCTGAGAAGCTCCTTAAGTATAATGTACATTTTTTTCATATGGAAAACTAATGTTTTAGAACTGGTTTTACGATATAAAAATATTTGATTTGTTTTTATTAAAAAAATCCTCTTGCTCCATTTTTGGCCTCAGAGAAACAAATAAATATTGACTTCCTTATTTTGAGACTTTACCTTAAATGCAGCATGATAGGAAGTAAGCCTTATATGAATGAAAAATTACGTACCTGAATGAAGTAGTCTTTTCTAGGGATTTCGGAGATATCTGAATTCTGTATTGTGTCTGTTTTGTGTAGGTGCCAACTTTGAGAGTACCCAGTGACCTCCTCTCCACCTGAGCCTGTCTGTGTAAGTGCATCCATCTTAATGAGTCAGGGTTAGGAAATCACGCCTAGTACTTGGAGTTGCGGAGAAAACATTGCAGTTGCTGACTAGTCCACCACTAGCAAGGAAAGCGAAGGGAGAAGAGAAGCAAATTGAGGAGTCGCCCACGGTGGCAGATTTGAAAAGAAATGCCGTTCTCAAAGTATGCACTGCGTGATCTACAGGTCTTTAAAAATTTTCAAATCACCAGGATACATTAACTGCTTTCTTAAACCTGCTAAGCAGAATTAAAACTCAGAAATGTGAAGGACAGTATGATTGACAGCAAGGTTTCCCTGGAGGGTAGTAGGAGACCTGCATGCTAAAGATGAGGACTTCCCAATATACCTTTCGTTCATCAGCTTTCTGAAAATTGAAGTATTAAAGTTTTTTAAAAGACTGTGTCAGATCTGAATTAATTTCTTGACCAAGGGAAAATTGGGTCAATATGAAAATTAACTAATGAAGTAAATGTGCATGTGCTTATACAAGAATAAGTCAAAAAGCATTGATACAAAAATAATTGGAAGTTTATTAAACAAAAATTTAAAACATGAAGCTATTGTTTCTTGACATATCCTCCATAAAAGCAGGTGTGCTTCCATCTCTCTCACTGTTCCCCGAAGCTTTCTATGTTTTTTATAACGTGTCAAAATAGAAGTTCTGGCATACTGGGGGAAATCGAGCCATGCTCTTTTTAGGTGTTCTTTGCATTCTGGGAACAACAATCAGCCTGAAGGGACCAGATCAGGACGGGAGGGTGGATGGGGCATGATTTCTCAACAAAATTATCTCAGGACCACAGTTGCTACCCTGAAAGAATGAGTGAGTGCCCTGATGTAATGGGGGAAATATCCCTAGGGAAACTTTCTTGGTCTTTTCCACACCGATGAAGTTTTCCTTCCCAATCCACTGCCATGAGTCAATTCCGACTGAGCAATTCTCTGTAAGATTTCTGAGGCTTTTGTAAATGCTCCCAGGAGCCAATGGCCTCCTGGGTCTCCCTAGGAGACCCGTGGGATCCAACCACTGACCTTGCAATGAGCAGTGCGACACTTACCCCTTGACACCAGGCTTGGGTACAAGGTCACCAGCTTGAATCCACCACTGAATCCCTGGGAGGAAGATGAGGCCTTCTGTCCCTGTAAAGATTTATAGCCTTCGAAGCCCAAAGGAGCCCTTCTGCTCTGTCCTCCCGGGTTCAGTCAGTATTGACTAGATGGCAGTGGGATTCAGATTTTATGCAGTTTTCAAATTTCTTAAAACTTACTTTTACTAAGTCCGCATGTTGATAGTCTGGTGTCAGAGAAAATCTATCAAGGTTATCGCTTGGGAATCTTCCCCCACAGTAGCCATTGTCTTCTGAGCTGACCTCTCTGCCTTGAATTTTGCCTAGAATTTATCTCGTCAAGCAGATTCCCATGGAAACCACAATTTTGCTTGGCTCTTGCACTTTTGATCATGGTAAATCCGATACTTGTCCTTGGTTTGGATTTGTTCCGTAAAGTTATCTGCATCAGCTCCAATCTTGCTTTAATAACTGAAGGAAAGATCAACATCCATTGAGCTGAAAGCTTGTTGAGATCAAGATGTTTGCTTATAATCGAAAATGCTGAGCCATGTAAGATCCCAACTTCAGAAGCCAGTACACCGATAGAAATTACGTGGTCTTCTTTGACCAGTTTCCACACTCAGCCACGGTCTCTAAATGGTAAGACTGATAACTTTCCCTCTTTTAGCTTGTCCTTGAGATCTTTAAACAAAATGATTGAGCCATCTGAAGCACGTTGTATTATGTAAGGAGGTGGATCTGTAAATATTCATAAACATTGCAAAGCTTTAATGATTTGAAAAGATGTCCACTTGCATAGTGTTAAAAATTTGCTGTTATCCCTGACCTTGAAATATTGTTTTTCCCCGTGGCACAAAAATATCCTTGTTTCCAAAGGCTCCCTAATAAGATTAAGACAGAGTTATGACTGAGAGAATTTGTCCATAGCTATCTACTGATCCCAGTGACAGATTTAAGTATGCTTTGTTTGGAATATGTATGAACTGTACGTTGGATATGTATGGAACATAGTATACTGGAATATGTATGCTATGTATGAACTGGAAGCCGAGTAATAATGCTTTTTCAATGTCCTTTCGCATAATATGCATAAAGGACACATATACACATGTCACACAAGTTCATATAAGGAATGTTTACCCTGCGTTTAGTAAGTTTAAAGATCATACTTCACTTGCTAACTAATCAAATGTGCTTGGTTCTTCTTACGTCCATGTACCAGCTCTCTCAATAGCTATCTAATGAAACCCACTAAGAAACAGTATTTACTCATTTAGAAAATAACAAATCCAGCTCTTAATATTCAGAGTAGTTTGCTTTGCTACTGAATTTATTCTTAAATGCTGGGGCATATTTGCTACTTTTATGTTAACCTCTGAAATGTTACCTACATGTCTCATTGTGAAAAATAAAAGACAATTCAGTGCATTAACAAAGTTAAATTCCTCATGTAGGTGGTCTAAGTTTTGACACCTATTCTTCAAGGTAACAGCAGAAGTAGCACTAAATGCATTGGGTTGCCATTATCTGGAATATTGAGTAGCTTATAAATACGTTTCCCTGGAGATTTCATCAGGTTATACATTTTTAAAGAGACACCTAGAGCCCCCAGCAAATTATAGGCAGTCTCCAGCATCGCAGCTCCTCCATCTGGCCTTAGTTTTGCCACCTCTATTTGCACAGCTCCACGTGAGAAACACTCTAGGAACGAAAAATTGATCTCTCCCTCATTATGCATGTGGTGTGCGCTGCAATTTACCACCCAACAGATGTCATAGCTAAGTACCCAGGCTCGTGTCATAATTCATTCATCTTAAGACAATCTGCTTTCAAAATGCACAGCTTTTTATAAATTGGTAAATTTTGGCTTTTGAGTAATTCCATAAAATATGTTGGGTTTATAACTTTAACTTTTTCTTTGAAACACAATCACCGAGTTCAGATGGTTTGGTTTCATGTTAGCTGCCTCCTTTTATTCCACTTTGAAGAACTCTGCAATGAAAATATAATAAAGGGCATCTATTTTTTTTTTTTTAAACCAGGCTGGTTGTTGAGGTAACTCTGGGAATTATCCTGAAAATGAGGTTTTGATGTCTAGACAAATCTGGTGAAACATTATTTCTCTGCCCTCATAAAGCAGGCAAGACATTCCTGCTGGGTGGTATTTTACATAATATCGTCATTAAACAAGGCCGATCTTTAGCGAAAGAAGCAGACGGCAATAAGTCAACTAGGGATGAATTATCTGAATCTGAGGAGGTCCACGTGCAAATGAATAACTGAGATTATTATTAGAGGTAGAAATATGACATCTAGATTAATAGAGTAAAAGGTTAAAGGAGATATTTAGCTGTTAGGAATAATTATCAAAGGGTTTTTTTTTTTTTTGGTAAAGCATGCTTTTACAAAAAAATAGCCTTCTATTTTGGAAGGTTTATTTTTCTAGAGCAAAAAGAACAGATAGATTCTTCACTGCCGCAGTTTTGATCTTGACTAATCTAAGTACTGTAACCATAAAGGGAAAAGCCTCTTAATTTAAAGAAATTCTGAATAGAATCAAATGCAGTTCCAATAATTTCACTTCTCCCTTTTGGCTAAATGAAAGAAAGGATTCCATTTTTTCTTTAAATGGGATCAAATCAATATCTGTGCTTTTGCCATTATACTGCAGGTGCAATGTTCTATGAGCAGACCCACAAAAAGGAATCCTAGGTTAAAAAGCATATTGCTCCGAATTAAACATGAAGAGAACTATTTAATGATTCTTGATACATTTATTTGTTTCTCTCCTCCACTCAAATACTCTTAATGCAATTTTCACCCTTAATTCCATAAAGAACTCTTCTCCCAAATCTATAAGCTTGTTTCTTTCAAGTTAATTGTGTTTTAAAAATTCCCCCACTGGGATTACAATTGATTTCCTTCTTACCTTGAGGTGAATATGTCTCATTGAGTTGATGCCTAGATTGTTTGGAAAATGAATTTATCCTTTTAATATTTACACAGCTCTTGAGAAACATGAGGGAAAGCCACAGCAGGAAAGTTTCCCTGTTGAAACTTCTGTGTTTTCCCCTCCTGTGAACACAGAAATTGATTTCCTATGTGCATATGTAGGAGCCCTATGGGAGATAGTTTTCTTATGATTGTGCAGTCAATTGCTTTCAGTAAGTCTCTGTAATGATAGGCTATAATGGGAGAGAATACATGGTTTCAACTAGGACAGGTGAATATTTAAAAATTTGATCGCATGTTTGTAAAAGTTTTCTTCTTGGTAAGTTTAGGAATGCATTTTTTAAAAATTTAGCCTGAAAAGCAAAAGTATTAAAGGGTTATTTCTTTTTTTTTAAAGAGTTATTTCTAATAGCTTTGTCTAGCCTTCTCTAGCAATTATTTCAATTTATGTAGCATACAATCAGGCAATTTATATTATGGTTACTACTTCATGTCAAAGACATTAAAACCTAGACTCAACTTATTTTTAATGGGAATGTCCCATGAAAAATTGAATTATTAGTTATTTCCAATTCTACCCTGTGTTCAATTTAATTTTAAAGGATTTTTTCTTACTATCCCATGTGAAACTAATAAAACATTTAATAATGTCCAATAATATGGTATATATAAAATAAAACCAAGTACCACCCACTCCTTAACTCCCCAAAGTCCACATTAAAAGCAACATAAGGCATGCCACACAAAATTAAAGAAAAGAATAGGACTAAACTGAACTACACAATAGATGATATTTTTCCCTTTGGCTTAACTGTATTATAGGAATATAAAACCATCCATAATTCTCATATACAATTTAAAGAAATACTTGGCTTTGTAGATCCTATTACATTTTCTAGTTCCCTTTGCCTGAATTCAGGTCTATAAACTGAGTAAACTTAAAAGGCAAAATTCTTCATTATTCTTAGAAACCTATGACGGGAATTTTAACCATTTGTACTCTGAGGGACCATTTACTAAATGCGTTTTCCTCTCTGCAGAAACAATGCCTGCTATCACATTGCTTCCTTCGGAAACTACTTTGGCGAATCTGAAGTCACCCTGAAATTGGTTGAAAATGGAACATAGAAACTTGATTTCAGGAACATAAGCTGTCTCTCAAGGGCTGTGTATTTTTCATAATTGGCAGCATAGATTAGGTGTGCTTAGGGAATTTTCAGATGGAGGAGAATCTGCAATCCTCACCAAGTTAATATCTAGCAAAAATGCTGGCTATAGGAGAAACAGTCAGTGTGAGATTTACTCAATTCACACCTTCCGGGTCTCTAGTTTCAAATTCACATTCTCTCAGGAGATAGGCAAGGAAAGTAAATCCG